AGACGTTATCAAAGCTTATCGCTCCTTTTTGGGGCACAGTCGCTTGCTGCGATAGTCCTGGAAGTTTATGACCCGAGTCACGTCAACTGTCCACAACTACCAAGTGTTGCCGCTCCACTCTCGAATACGCCTCCCTGCAAAAGCTTGCGACACCGACAGTAGCGAAGCATTCCAGAAGTTCTTTATCATGAAGCGACTACAGTAGTCGATAATTGACTGCATAGTGCTTCTCTGTAATACTATAATATCTTAACTTCTGATACCACTTTCCGACATTACTAATCCTAAGCAGCTCAGTTTCGGGTCATGAAGGTCACAACGGTTTTTTATAGACTTCTCTCAACACTGGGAGCATTTCGACCAAGCTTATCTGTGAACAAAGTCAAGCCAGCCTAACTTCTAGACTTTTTGCGATTTCTGTACTCCATTCGTTGCATGTAGCAGCTTAGGGAGAACAGCGTTCCCATGAGCATCGTTTGTACAGGTCTACTGCTTCAGTACTAAGCCAGAGCAACCTTTGCCTTTGAATTTGTGAATTTCTGGCTTCACACACGCTCGCGCCATGCTGTAGTGTACACTAACCGACTGAGGTATTTCTTCTTCAGGTTGGAACAATCACCATAGCATCCACGATAGTATTGGTTGTACAATTACATGGAAATCGCTTAACGGGTACTGCAGAGATTTCTAGTCTCAAATTGACCGATAGAAGTGGTACTCTTGGTTTGCCACAAGATGCTCTCGATAATCTCGGAAATCTTGGCAAGGAACTTATTCAAAAGGTACGTTATTTGGGTGATTATTATTCTTATTAGACCTGACAGCACATTTTTCTTATTCACTGAGTCATTTCGGGACTTGTTTATTGTTTACTGCATCTTTCTAAAATAAATCCAAGCCAGTTTCTCCACATTTCCCTGTGTTGCCCTCCCATGTTCATTGCAGTTGCTAGTCAAGAAGGTAGAAGCTGACTTGGGAGATGTAGTCTTTTTAATCCCTTTCTGAGTCTTCCTCGCATACCTAAGATCGCTGTTCCTCAATGACACTAGTCAATTCACACTGCTGGAAATCAATACGGAGCTCAAGTCCCGCCCACTGTAGTCATGTCCCTCCCCCTGACGAAGTTCTTTTTTGAACACAGCTCACATTCGTCATCTTTCCATGGTTCGTCTTGAAAGTTCGATCGGAATTCGGTGAACATGAGTCTTTCTTGACCGTTTCCCACCTTGAGACAGATATAATGAGCATAATGGGTTTAATACCACTGAATTGCTACGGTTTTCAGCACCTTCCACCTCAAGCGATTTTCCTCGCTTCCATGACCTAACGTTGAGCTTGAGAGCCTAAGAATTTTGATCGTTACAAACGAGAAAGACCATAATCTCTATCCAACACGCACAACACAACAGTAGTTGACCATTGTTGTGGTATCGAAGCTTTGTCGCTTCGCAAATAAGCCGTTCGCCCTCACTTCCCTCTTCCAAAAGAGGCTTATCTAGGAAGAAACTTGTTTGTTTGGAATGGAAGTGTGCTTGTGCATAGGGGTTTTGACCAAAAAGGGACGCATCACTCCTTTTGGTGCTAGAAAGATTTTTTAAGAAAAGGTATTCAAAGAAGTAATCGAAGTTTTTTTTTCAGTTGCTGAACGACACACTCCAGAAGGGTATTGTCATCAACATTCCACTGAGCGGTATCGGTGGCTTACCTATCAATGTCGTCAATCCACAAGTACGAATCATCGAACACGGTCTCCTTATAGCCACCGATCTGACCATTTCACCGTCATTACTCGGTATTGAAGGATCACAATGCTAAGTAGTAGACCTGTTCACAACACCGTCGCCCACAACAATCCCCTAATAACTCTATCATCACTATTCCTGCTAGAGATTTTAGCTCTGACTATCTCGTTGTGGGGTTACCTCGAGTATAGTTTTCCAGTGGGCTCGGAACAAAGTTGAACTATAAACCGGGTGTTAACCAGTACCGTAGAGTATCGTCCTATACATGAACGTGCCTGCCTACCGTACGTGAGTTTTTCTTACTCGAGTCAGGGAGCGCCATATTTCACTTCGTGTTTGCCCCTTTATCACTGCCCTGTTCTCTTCCTCTCCTTCCTCACCCTTTCTCACCCAACTAGTGCCCCTTCCCCTTTTTTTCCTAATTAGGGACTTATGAATCTAACATTACTGTGCTGCCTTACGATATGATCGTCGAAGTGGGAGGACGTGCCATGCCTTTTACCCGACGTCCCTATCGACCACTCATTGCTCACACTTGTAATATGTATGTACTTTTGAATAAGTTATGACAACGTTGACAATGAATGTCATTTTACCCGAGTGATTTCCACTTTGTGCATTCATTATTGAATAAATAACAATATTTTTATGAGTTGTTTGGTGTTGTCAAAAAATGAGGACGTCAATGTCAAATGTCAAACAACTATTAGGTTGTTCGGAAAGGAATGCGCGTTGAATTCGCCCATTCATTTCTCCCCTACTATATAAGATTTTCCAAAACAGTTTTGTCTATTAGA